TTCTTTTATTGATTTTTAGAGAGGAAGGGAGAGGGATAGAGAGGAACATTGATGAGATAGAAATATCATCGATCAGTTGCCACCTGCAGGCCCCCTACTGGGGATTGAGCCTGCAACCCGGGCATGTGCCCTGATCCAGAATCAAACCTTTACCTTCTGGTTCATATGGCAACACTCAACTACTGGGCAACTCTGGCAGGGCTCTGTTTCCTTTTAAGATTTTATATGGTTGGATATAGATTGTGCTTTATAACTTATACTAGAGTCCCGGGCTGGCAATTAGGGCTGATCTGTGGGTTGACCAGTGAGGCGATCAGGGGGGGCCCCCCCGCTGCCACCCACCTTGGCCAGCCTGGGGCCTGTGAGCTGGGGGCAGCTGCTGCATTGAGCATCTGCACCCTGGTGGTCAGTGCACATCATGGTGACCGGTCACTTCAGTCATACCACTGTTCAGTCAATTTGCATATTGGGCTTTTATCATATAGGATAAGTAGTATACAAATATAGATTAGTACAATTTCAAATATTACAGAAAAGTGTACAGAGAAAAACATTAGTCTCCTGTTTCTCTACTTCAATTCCTGAATTAATCACTTAACAGTTTAGTTGTCTTTTTATCTGTCACGGTACATTAATATCATTATATGAGTAGATATACATATTTTAGCATGTTTTGTTGTTATTAACCAGAGTTGGAATCATGCTGTTCATATTTTTTTTAACTCTCACATTTTACATTTATAGTCTTAGATTGGGATTGCATTTAGATTTATTCCTATCCTTTTAATGATGACTATAATGTATACCATATTTATTTAACTATTTTCCTATCAGTGATCATTTATATGTGCAGAAGTTTTACATTAATAAGTGCTTGAATGTATTAATTTTTTTCTCCAATGGCTATGTGTGTTGTGCCTTTATTACAAAAGTTGTAGGTCTTCCCCATGCTGAAATTATATAAAAAATCCAGCCATATGTTCTGATTGCATTCTTTACATTTAAATCACTTGGTATATACATCTAATGTCTTCTCTCCAACTGTTTGAAGTGCCAGTTTTTAACGTACAGTAAATTCATAGGAGTTATAGTTGTCTCTCTGTTCCCATGAACTCTGTCCATTCCTGTCCCAACAACAGATCTTCTATTTTTCACTGTATTGCAGTGATATGTTAAAATTTTTATTAAATTTATTGGGCTGACACTAGTCAATATGATCCTGTGGTTTTCAGGTGTGGGTTTCTATGTAACAAGATCGGTCTATTGCTCCATGTGACTGTTACTCAAAGGCAAGTATTCTTCTGTCACCTTATATTAGGCCCCCCCTTCTCCTCTCCCTACCCACTTCCATCTTGCAACCACCACACTGCTGTGTGTGTTCACGAGTTCCACTTTTATATCCCACATATGATTGAAATCATATGATTCTTAGCTTTTTCTGACTGACCTATTTCATTTAGCACAATATTCTCAAGGTCCATCCTGTTGTTGTTGCAAATGACAGTATTTCATCCTTTCTTCTGGCTGAGTAGTATTCCATTGTGTATATGTACCACACCTTCTTTCCCCACTCCTCTATTGCAGGACACTTTGGTTGTATCCATGTCTTGGCCACCCTGAATATAATGCTGCAATGAGCATAGGGGTGCACATATCTTTGCCAATACATGATCTTGAGATTTTCGGGTATATACCCAGGAGAGGGATTGCTGGGTCATATGGTAGCTCTATTCTTAATATTTTGAGGAATCACTACACTACTTTCCAGAGTGGTTCTACATTTCCACAGGCAGTGAATGACGGTTCCCTTTCATTCACAATCTCTCCAACATTTATTCCTTGTCTTGTTGAATGTGGACACTCTAATAGGTGTAGTAGTATCTCATTGCCGTTTTGATTTGCATTTCCCTAATTGCTAGTAAGATGGACAATGAGCATAGGGATGCACATATTTTTGCCAATACATGATCTTGAGATTTTGGGGCATATACCCAGGAGAGGGGTTGCTGGGTAATATGGTAGCTCTATTCTTAATATTTTGAGGAATCACTACACTACTTTCCAGAGTGGTTCTACATTCCCACAAGCAGTGAATGATGGTTCCCTTTTATTCACAATCTCTCCAAGATTTATTGCTTGTCTTGTTGAATGTGGCCACTCTAACAGGTGTAGTAGTATCTCATTGCAGTTTTGATTTGCATTTCCCTAATTGCTAGTAAGATGGAACATCTTTTCATATATCTATTGGCTCTTCATATGTCTTCTAAAGTCAGGTGTATTTTCAGGTCCTCTGCCTGCTTTTGATTGGGTTGTTTGTTTGTTTGGTGTAGAATTTTATGAGCCCTTTAAAATATTGGATATTAAACCTTTGTCGGAGCTACTGTTTGCAAATATCATCTCCCAACTGGTTGGCTGCCTCTTTGTATTGTTGTCAGTTTCTTTTGTTGCACAGAAGCTTTTTAGTTTGATAATAAAATAGGAATAGAAGGAAAGTATCTCAATATAATAAAGGCCATATATTATAAACCCTCAAATAATATCATACTCAATGGTGAAAAACTGAAAGCTTTTCCTCTAATATCAGGAACAAGACAAGTATGTCCACTCACCACTTTTTTCCAACATATAGTGCTGGAAGTCTTAGCCAGAGCAATAGGCAAGACAAAGAAATAAAAGCCATCTAAATATGGAAGGCAGAAGTCAAAACTGTCACTTTTTGCAGACGACATGATCCTGTATTTAGAAAACCCTAAAGAACCCACCAAAAAACTATTAGAAACAATCAATAACAGTGAAGTTGCAGAATACAAAATCAATGTGCAAAAAACCCACTGCCTTTCTGTATACTAACAACAAAACTTCAGAAAAAGAAATAAAAAAAAAAAAAACCCAAAACAATTCCTTTTGCAATTGCAACCAAGAGAATAAAATACCTATGGACAAATTTATCAAATAACATGAAAGACCTAG